ATATAAAGTGAGATAGTATCTGCACATAACCTATGCACATCCTCCCATTACTTTAAATCATCTCCACATTGCTTGTATCTAACACAACATACATGCTATATAAAATTATACTGGTGCTCGCTTCGGCAGCACATATACTAAAATTGGAACGATACAGAGAAGATGAGCATGGCCCCTGTGCAAGGATGACACGCAAATTTGTGAAGCGTTCCATATTTTTTTAAAAAAAAAATTATACTGAACTGTTTAGGGAATAATGCCAGGGAGTCTGTACATGTTCAGTATCTGAACCTAGAGGACATTATGCTATAAGAAAAAAAAATATCCATGGATGTAGAACCCACAGATAGGGAGAACTGACTCTATTTTGTAAATTTATAGGATTTACGACCTAAGAAAAAAAATTTGGGAAAATTGTAGTTTTCATTTCTCTTAAACCAAGACATCAACGTCCTTGGCAGCCTTAATAATTGTCCCTGTGCTTTCTGAGTTTGAAATCTATTTTCTCCTAGGTTAAATCTTCCATTTGCATCCTCTTTGCCTATCTCCTTTACATGCCAAGTGCTATAAATTGTTAACTCCATTCTAACTTTTACAAATGTTCCTCATCCTCATGTATTGCAGTCCTTTGCCAATGCACATGGCTTATTCTTCAATGTTTGTTTTTTTTCCCCTAGGCAGAACTGCCTGTTGACTACCATGAATTCTGGTCCTGCAACTTTTTCCTATCATTATAGGGCTGGAAAAACAGCCTTTACCTCACCACCCATTAATACTCCTCTAGCCGGCTATTTTCCAGTTCAAGGATAATTCTGGGATTTTATAAAAAAAATTAAAAACTACACGGACAGGTTAGCAGGTCCCTTTAAAAAGCAGTGATCTTCAGGATACTCAAAACTACTTCTTTTTCTTTCTTAATTTCTTTGTAGCAACAAGGGTCTCCCTATGTTGCTCAGGCTGGTCTCAAACCCCTGGCCTCAAGTGATCCTCCCACCTCTGTCTCCCTAAGTGCTACTACTTACTTCTTATACCTAACCCATTAGCAACTACCCAGTCATATTCTCAAGAGCTAAATAAGCTCTGGATTGACAGAATGACTTCCATCATTTTTCCCAGTCCCCTATGAAAAAGTTGAGGTGACAAAGATGAGGTCTTAATATAGTATCATCGTGTTGCAGGGACTCTGTACTACAAGTGTAGATGAACTGCAAAAATCAAGGCAGATTTAGAAAAAAACACAGGAGAAAAAACTTTTTCTTAATGCCTTTACTTAAAACATGATGGAAAAAATCTTACAGGTACACATGGAAAAGTATGACATGATCACCACTGAGTGAAAACAACCTAACCAGAAAGCTTTAATATCTGCCAGCTAATGTTGAAGCTGAAATTCTGGGAATATGACATGCTGCAGGGGGGCTGAAAGGAATGGATAATTAGTATTCCTCTCCTTCTTCCTCACCCTCTCCTTCAACAGAATCCACACCAACCTCCTCATAATCCTTCTCAAGGGCAGCCATGTCCTCACGGGCTTCAGAAAACTCTCCCTCCTCCATCCCCTCACCCACGTACCAGTGAACAAAGGCACGCTTGGCATACATCAGGTCAAACTTGTGGTCCAGGCGAGCCCAGGCCTCAGCAATGGCTGTGGTGTTGCTCAGCATGCACACAGCTCTCTGTACCTTGGCCAGGTCGCCACCAGGTACCACAGTGGGAGGCTGGTAATTGATGCCAACCTTGAAGCCAGTGGGACACCAATCCACAAACTGGATGCTGCGCTTGGTCTTGATGGTGGCAATGGCAGCATTGACATCTTTGGGAACCACATCACCACGGTACAACAGGCAGCAAGCCATGTATTTACCGTGGCGAGGGTCACATTTCACCATCTGGTTGGCTGGCTCAAAGCAAGCATTGGTGATCTCTGCTACAG